GAGAAAACAATCTATTTGTATGCATGTTTGCATATGGTGCCGTGTGCTTCTGTGTTTAGGGAGTTGCTGGAAGTGATGGTTTACCGGGGGAGAACGGGGAGCCGGTACGTAACACTGTTCACTTGCCACATGCAGCTCAATGTCTGATAGTCCTCTGATTTCTGACACAGCCTCTGTTTCCTCTTACTTCAGGGTCATTACGGTCCCGTCGGACAGAAAGGAGAGGTGAGATCTCATTTCATTTTATTGCATTTTCCTGTTTTTATGCTATTCTAACAATTTTGTCAAAGTAAATATTTAAAGGTCTTTTTTTTTTTTTTACTTCAAAACCAGTGTATAATGATTCCCATTATATAATATTTTTTTCCCAAAATGATATATTTTGATACATTTAATTGACAATGCAATTATTAACATTATTTCCATGTTACCACATTCAACAGTCTTGGTAAATGTATGTTGCTATAGATCAAAGAAAACAGAGTGATGTTTGGATAGAATACTACCTAATACACCACACAGTATACAATCTAGACTGCCTAAAACTTAAATTAATTATTAAGTGAAACTGCATTATACAGTGGTAAGTCTTTCAAACTGTCCCATGATACATAGTTATCATTACCTAATCATGTCTGACTGAGTATTCTTGTAAAAATGTTTAATCTAAAATTATTGTAATGTCATCTCTGTAATGTTATTCATCACACTGGAAATGGCAGGCACAAGGCATTGTGGGAAATGTAGTAGTTTGTCCAGGTATTCTATGCAGAACACGTGCCTGATGTCAGTATGTCATTCCACACAAAACCAATGACAAACAAAGAGCACAGTAACAGAAACACAGGTCAAAGATAGTAACCCATGATGGCAGGATTACACTCTGAAGAGTTATAAATGGCTTTTAAAGATGTGTCCACGCAAATGATCTGCATAAGATTTTAGACTCCAGATTCCTGCATGTGGGCAAGTACCCGACAAGTGAGCCGACAGTGTCTGATAAAACTGCTGGAAAATATTTACCTTGTCATTAGCGGTGCAGTTCAGGAATCAGGCTAACCTATAAGCGAGGGCTCCAGGGAATCAATGGCCAGTCAGGGGTGTTTAAGTTGGACAGATTCCACTCATCACTCAAAATGCTGGAGGTTTTGTTAATAGCTGAGTTCTAATCAACACGCTCACCAATCCTCTCATTGTAACAAAGCAGTGAACACAATGTAAATAAGAGATGAATTGTGCAGTGCAGAGCTTCATTTATTATACTGAAGTGAGTGACAGATTTTAGTGATTAGAAGGGGAGCGCTTATTGCATTCTTTCTTATAAATAACAAAATAATAAAATGTTTAGTTCTAAATGATTTACATTAGATGTTAGGTATATACTATACATTATTCATTCACATGGCAATGAATGTCTCACAACAGAGATTAAAAAAAACAAATCCAGCAGCGACACTTGTAGTGAAGAGAACATTGAATTAAAAATGCCATTTGGCTTGAGAGCTTTCCTCAGGGAACACAGCAAGCACAATGCATGGACATTTAAAAATCATATTCATATTAAGTTACTCATTCAATCTCAGGAAACTGCTGGCAAGTTCCACTCACAACATCACATTTCATTTTAGAAAGTAATTACTGTTAAAACGCCATCAGGTTGACTAATTAATTTCTGAATTCTGCAATTTGCTTAGGGCCCCAAATCACTAAGTCCACCCCTGGGTAGCCCAGTTCAGAAACCACTGATAGCTTGCCAGCTGCTTTCAAATGTGCCATGTTTGTGTTTACACTGTGAAGTTTTACATTTACAATGAAATAGGCAATCACAGAAATGTCTGTTGAGCACTAAACAGAATCAGAGTCCAGTCAGAGGTATTAACATGCAGTGAAACTACTCAATCAATAAATAAAACTGACATTGCTGTATTTTGCTTTTCTGCTAAATACTGTATATTGTGATATAAACAATACACTCATTTTTAACAGATTTGAATAGCTACGTATATTTAAAAAGTATGAATCATTTTAGAGTTAGTGGGGTAATTTTGTTAGGGAGTGCATCTATATAGAAAATAAAAATAATAAACAGCTAAAAAATGTATTTAAAAAATAACAAAAATAAAATTGTAGTTGTCATGATTTTATTGTTAAATAATGGTTATAATATTGAGATTATTGTGATATTATGAAATAAAAACAAACTGATAAATATATAGTAATAACAATGTAAAATTACAAAACTAATATTGATGTCTTAAAGGGATAGTTCACCCAAAAATGAAAGTTCTGTCATCATCTACTCATCCTCATTTTGTTCCAAACGTGTGTTTCTTTCTTCTGCAGAACATAAAATAAGATATTTTGAAGAACGTTGGTAACCAAACAGCTGCTGGTAGCCACTGACTTCCATAGTATGGACCAAAAATACTATGGAAGTCAATGGGTACCGTCAACTGTTTCTTCTTTTGTCCTTGAAAGTTATACAGGTTTGGAACAACTTGAGGGTGAGTAAATGATGATAGAACTTTCATTTTTGGGTGAACTATGCCTTTAATTTCTTCATTTTCAAAGGGTAAACCATCAAGCTTTTATTTTGATGGGTTGCCAACAAAGAAAAAATATTTCGAGTTTCAGAGTGAATTTCAGCTCTGTGTGTTAATGCAGCTCATGATATCAGTGTCTCAGAACAGCTCCATTCACAGTAAATTAACCAACACTCAAACACTGTATCATGAACTACAGGTGTGTAAATGTCGCGCTTGAAACCGGTAAAGCACACAGTATATTTAATTAAATTGCCACCTGTGTGGTCTGACAATCACACTTTTATTTTGATATATCGTTTGATATATGCTGCTAATGCGGGCGTGGTTTGGGTGGCGAACTTTGTCAAATGGGTCGGTTCAAGTATGGAATTAATTGAATGCTGCTATCAGATAACGGTTATCGGTTTGAAAACAGAAGCTACATAGTAGCTACATAGTTTCAATCATGAATAAACCTTTAGCATGGTAATGGATATGGGAACTCAGTGTATTTGTTACTTGCTACTGCTAAGACACAGGTTTCTGGGCCACCTGAACAGCATATTGACTCGGGCCCCCGTGTTTCGGTCAAAATCACATTTTTGTCCCCCCCTCGGTAGAAATCGTCTTTGGGCCACATTTACACATATGTAAATGCCCTGTAAGCAGATCTAGACAAGTGGTGCTGGGGAGGAAGTGGGTTAAGAGAAAAATTCTTGTTGTAATGAACCAGTTTACAGTAAAACTGGAGTATTTACATGTTAGCATTAAATGGAGCATTACAAGTAGAGAACCTATCTAATCTAGTATTTAAGACAATTGCGAGTAAATTTCAAACCATAATTTTTGTACATTGTGAGAACATTTAGTATCACCAGTTTTGCATGCCTTTGGATTGAGGGGGAAAACCGGGCATCCTGAGGACATCCACACAAACACCACACAGAAAATGTCTCCTGGGACTCGAACCTTCTTCTGTGAGGCAGCAGCGCTACCTAATGAGCCACCCAGAATGACTGTGAATTATTAGCATTTTATCCAGTATATGTAAATATTGTATGCAGCTTGTGAAAAACAGTGCTAAATAAGATCTTTAAAAAAAGATGTTCTTTGTTCTTATTGTAATGTGTTTCCTTATTCATCCATCAGTGAATGTTTGCAGCTTTGGTAATAGTAGTGAGTCCCGTAATTGTCCTTGGTGATAAAAGCTGAAGCTGTTGGGAAGAGATGGAATGTGGAGATGCAAAACCAAAAAATGTGCAAGAAAACACTTTTCAACAGGATAATTTGTGTCACTGCAGTTATTATTGTGTCATGTGGCATGTAATTGAAATTGCTTAATCAGGGCAAAAAAAAAAAACTTTTAAAAATTATCTTGCAGACTCTACAAGGTGTATGCAAACGTATGACCTCAGTTTTACAAAGTAGTTAGGTGAACACAGGCGTGGAAACACAACATAGCTCTTATATCATGTACAGCTGGATTGACTGAAACACTTACAGCATCTGGGACCAAATGCAAAACATTTTATGCTGCTACCTGAGGACAATCAGTTTAATCCGTGTGGTTTTCCCTGTGTCATAGTCCGGTAAGCGTGGGGAGCTGGGAGCCAAAGGAGTTGTAGGACCACAGGGGGAGACCGGAGCCAGAGGCGCACCTGGAAAACCAGGACCGATGGGATTCCAAGGAGAGCAAGGTTTTCCAGGGGTCTCTGGAAAGACTGGTGTTCCTGTAAGCACCTGCCAGACGATGCATGTTGGTACTGCGCTGTAAACACAGAATATTTCTCAGGAGTGCTGTTGTGATTATGTTGCAGGGCAAACTGGCTAGTGAGCAGCACATCAGAGAACTGTGTAGCTCGATGATCGATGGTAAGACCTTTGTTCACCCATAAACGGCATTTATTGATGCAGCTTCACGATGCAGCCTGTAGTGTATTGCTGGTGTTGATCTCAGATCAGATGGCTCAGCTCGCTGCTAACCTGAGAAGACCTCTGGCTCCTGGTGCCGTGGGACGGCCTGGACCAGCCGGGCCTCCAGGGAAGCAAGGAGAGGTTGGATCCATCGGTCACCCTGGAGCCCTTGGCCCGCCGGGTTACAGAGGACTGCCGGGAGATCTCGGTGATCCTGGTCCTCGCGGTGAGAGACTGGTCATGTTGTGCTTTTGTTTTAGCAAATGGTTAAAAGGATAAATGTGTACAATGCAATGTCATTGAGGTTGCTTTCTAGTCAGTTAATGCAGTGCATTTGTTAAGAGTATTAATTATATTAGTTAAGAATATTAATCTTTATGTTAGTTAAATACAACTGTTCATTGTTAGCTCAGATCCATTAAATAATATTAAGGCAACTTTTGATTTTAGGTTGACTTTTTATTGATAGTTCATGTTAACTAATGTAGTTAACATTGTATTGAACAGAACGTTATTATAAAGTGTTTCCTCAGGACAGGCTTTAACTGCTTGAAAGCTCACTCACATTCTATAGGTGCAGAGTATTACAGGTTTTTTTTTTTTTTTACAATTGCTAAGATACATTTTTCAATACTTGGGTAACTTTTTCAAAACTCTTCACGCAGTTCTCCTTACCCAACTTTAGCTTGGCACAGCAGTCAATTATTTCCCATCCAGAACACACTAACACTACCAGAACAGTTCATACATGTCTCAAAAACAAATCGTTCTTTGTCACTCACAAAACAACCTAAAAACACTAACATCACATAGCATTATAACAATGCTTACTTCTGTACTTTTTTTTTTTTTTTTTTACTAAACAAGAATAAATCTTGTCACTGTTGAGAATTCACTGCAGTATTTATGAATTTGCAATGTTTACATTGCAGTACTATATTATTTCTAAGTTTCCTCATTTGTACAGGTACATGTACATGTTTGTGCCTGAGTGAGAAATGAAATCATGTCATTTGAAAGATTTAGTCACTGAGTGTATTTTGTGTCAAAGCAATGATAAATGATCCAGACTGCTGTTGTGCTCACTGTGTGAAGAGTTTTGAGAAACGGGTCCTAGCGAATGAAAAAACTGTTTTTCACTGCTGTGAAAAATGATATTTGCTATTATGTATATGAATCCAGGAAAAATGTTATATTCTAATATGAAATCATATACCGCATTCCGGAATGAATTTGGATGTATCTTAATTCTGCAGGAGATGTGGGCGAGCCAGGTGATAAGGGGCCTGTAGGTAAAGCCATCGAAGGGCCCACAGGAGACCAGGGTGACCCGGGTATGTACAGTCTGTTCATAAGCACATTTAATACCCGCCCCAGTCAACCATTCACACACACACACACACACAAATACATTATCAATGCAGCTTGTCAATGTAAAGTAGCTTATTAAGAAAGAAGAAAACTCGTTTAACACAGCCACGCTGTGTAATCAACATCAAATATTAACTTAAAAAACAGTTCCTAAATTAATAGCGTGCAAAAAATAAGGTAGTTGGGCCAGAGATGGCAGGCAGTACTCTTCCTGACTAAACAACCTGGCATCGATTCCCAAGAACACGCCAGTGGACGTCTGTGACTTCATTAGCTGACGTGAATGTTCAGCTCAAACTAAACTACAATAAATTACAATAAATAACAACAATAAAGTATATGAGCAATCAATCATAAAATGATTTTATGTAACTGTACTGGATCTGTCGGTCTAATTAGACATTTCCCATGAAAGAAACCAGTTTCAGCTGAATAACTGAATAGATGTGGAGTTCTTGTAGTTCTTTTTCAAACATTGTCCTATATCTATCTTCTCTATGGCCACCAGGTCTGCCAGGCGTGCATGGCATCGTCAAAGACGGCCGTGACGGAGCACCTGGAGATCCAGGAGAACCAGGAGAAGCAGGAAGAGCCGGCAGACCAGGACACCAGGGATCACCCGGCATCTGTGACACTTCAGCGTGCCAAGGAGCCGCCGCGGTTCACGGGAAGTCCTCCAACCCTAAGAACCATTAAGAGGAGAACCAGCAGAATTCCCTTTCAGGAATGCTTCTGGAGGAGAAACGGAACAGTGGATGTCAAACCAGCATTTCAGAGCGGAACGAACATTGAGCATCAGAGTGGAACGTACAAGAGGCTTGAAGTACCAACATGTGTAGATACAACAAAAGACTAAATACATCACACCGTGAAACTGGTTGATGCGAAAAATAATTCAGTCCTTGTATTAGAAGTCTTCTTGTACAGCACCCTTTAAAAGTGTAATGGAGCACAACTTTGAGCTTCAAAACCTGACCTCGACAACAGCAAGCAAACAAGCAAACTGCAGGCTTGTTTGAGGCATCAAGAAATGACACCAAAATATTGGATATATTTCTGCAAATTGATTTTCTTTGCCATTTTATTCTTACGTTTACATTTAGTTCTTAAATGTTTAACATTCAAAGTCACTGTTTGAGGAACAAACTTCAAGCATCGATTGAGATGCTTCAGACACACTTACTGTAAAATATGTCATTGGCCATCTGTGGGCTTTATCGACCTTATCCACTAGATAATGGTGCTGTTAAACTATTAAATATGATTTTAAATACTATTTATTATTTCTGAGTTACTGTTGTGTGTACAGTGTTTCTACGGCATGGTATTGTAAGAAAAACTGAATAAAGCCACTTTTCAGTAAATTATTTCTCTTAATAATGCTCATGTCTCTGAACCTTCGTTAGTACACTAATAATAAATACATTAAATATATAATAACGCTTATATAACATACATTAATACAAGAAATGATCATGCCTTTCAAACAAACAAGGCATAAAAATACAAATACACATTGCAACTTCTCTAATTTTTTTAACTATATTACAGTACACTTTCAAAGGGCACTGAGTTTGCTCTGCAGACTTGACAGTTTCCAGTCTCAATGTGTTGTGTCTCGTTCTACACTCGAGCTGGTCTATGACAACAAGCGGTCAGGGACTACTAGCATCATGCAATAAACCCATCAGAAAAACTTTAAATGACAGACTTTGTTTACACATCCACAACTCTGCGCTTCTACACTCTTCAGTCAGCTGTGTGAGGAGGAGTTCTCAGGTTTTGTCGTGTTTCTATAGGGTTCGAGGAGATGTGCCACTGAAACACAGTGCTTTGTAAATCCTGAAACAGTGAATTTCTGCATGTTTATGAGCTGAAATGTAAGAAGTAATATCCCTGCTGGTTCACTGATGGTCAGAGGACTTCAGGAACAGTTTCAAAAGACTCTGTGCCATTCACGAGATAAGAATAATACAATAGTAATACACTGAAATATAACAATATCGAAATAGGTCACAGCAGTTTTACAGTAGTTCACAGAAGTGCATAATAAATGTTATTAAAGGTACATCATATTAGTAAAGAGCCTACAAACATTAGTAACACATTAGGTAACGTTAAAATAGGTCACACCTTACAATAAGATTCACCAAAGTAAATCATAAATACTTTTTAGTGAGTTCACAAACATGCTTTATTTGATGTTTTCCTGAGGTTCACACAATGCTTTATTGCTCTGCAGTAATAAAATACTGTTTATTGTTAGTTCATGGTAACTAATGCATTAAGTAATGTTAACACATTGCATGCAACTTGAATATTAAGAAATGTAAATGTATAAATCTTTAACAAGGTAAATGTATATATCTCTATGTGGACCATATACTGTCTGTTGTCGGTTTCTACCATGTTTTTCTCTCTCCATTTCTGTCACCGACAGAGATTTGGTTCCTTGCCGCTGTCGCTGAACTGAATGATGACATCAATTTTTCAGTTAAGGTCAATTCATTGATGATTCGGTGACTGTATGCACGGATACTTCCTGGTTTTAGATAAGGCAGCTCAGTCAACTGTCAAAATCAGGGGCCAGTTGCATAAACATAGCCACTGTGTTAAGACTGTGTCTTAAGAACTAGTTTGACCGACTAGTTGTTAGCCAAGAGTTATCAGACTTATCTTTTGGATTCAAATGAGACCATTCTCCCTTTTTATAACTGACTTTAAGAAATTATGACCAGTCTTAAAGAGAAAAAATTAGATGACTAACTTTTTAAGTCTAGTCTAAGCGGTTTATGCAACCGGCCCCAGCTGTGCTATAAGGGGAGTGCCAAGAGGACCTTACTATATACTACCGTATACTGTTTCAGGAATGACAAACAAAATTAGGTGAGTGAATCCGCTAAATTGTTCCGCGAGTCATTGCTATGATTGACAGTGATAACTGTAGCAATGGACGGAACGAACTCTCTGACAAACCGATGTCAAAAATAATCCTGTGCATGAAAATGCGTATAAATAGTACGCCAAATAAAAACGAAAACTCGTGGTATTGATACGCAAAAATTGCATTTGGCGTGCATATGATACGCATCTACCCCACATAACCTACCCATCGCGTAGCATATACACGCCAAAGTCCATTTTTGCGTATCAATACCACGAGTTTTCGTTTTTATTTATTACTATTTATACGCACTTTCATGAAATCGGGTTGAAATTCAGAGTAACAAAACTATAGCAGCAAGTCTGTATTGGCTGAATGTATTTAGCCGTTTCTGCAGTTAAAGATAAAACTTTTAAAAATGTAGTTTTTAAATTAAATCTAAAAATATTTCAAAATATTTCATGCATTATTATTTGATTGTTATACCATTAATAATTAACTTGTTTTTAATTTGTAGTTAACTAGTAAAGTATTTAAATAATTAACACTTCTAGGCTGTTGGTGTCTGGGCTTAATTAATTTATTTTTTGAATGACATGAGACTTTGTGACTTAATTCCTGCACTTGCTATACTTTATACTTCAGTACAGTAAAAGTACTAAAATGGGTTACAATATTCATTTTATGATAAATCCAAAAGCAAGACTTGAAAAAACTAGGGAGTTGAGCCGATGAGTGATCCTCTGCCGCCATCTACTGGTTAAAATGTTAATTTCACGTCATTTTCATCTTAACTGCTACACTGAGAATAGTACCTCACATCATCATTTAAGGAGAAAACTGAACAATGTAATATGCTTAACACAAAGGGAGCAGGTTGATGAGGTGATGAGAAGATGCTGATTAAACCAACTGCCAATAAAATAATCACATTGCTGAGTGTTTTTGAAAGCTTTGTTTTTTGTTTGGTTAAATAATCAACATTACCTTTGCGAGTACGACTCTCGTAGTTTGTTGGCTTGTGAATTAACAGAACTTGCATGCAGCCACAACAAAACTGTTCCAGACCTGCCAACCTTGGAAAAAAATTGGAGCACCATCAGTGTGGCTATTTAATGTTAAATATTTTGGTAACACTTTCTATGTAGCCCGTATTTATAATACATTATAAGGGTATTCTTAAGGCATTATAATGAATGCATTATAAAAAAACCTTATAATATGTTGTATCATCTCATGAATATTCATAAGAACAGTTTTAATATATTATAATATTTACTTATTTGTGGTTATAGCTTTTAAGAGTATGATTATTTATAACACAATGAACACGTTGTTGCTACCCCACTGAAATGATGGTCATTACTCCTTAACTGATGTTTCTGAACATGTTTAATCCGTTGACATTCAAGTAGACACTGTAAGAACTACGAACTACGAATTTTATTTTAATAATAAAATTTTTTTTTTATCTCAAACAGCCATAAGATCAGATATCAGATCCGATGATTGTGTAATATGACACATTTGCTTTGAACTATTTTTATTGTAATATCAGTTTGATTATTTTGATGGTACCCTTTAAACAGCTGTTGATAAGTGACTCTGCAACTACATATCAACTAGCGGTCATTAGAGTATTAGTATGTCTGCTACTGTAAATATTTGCTAACACTTTATTTTGATGGTCAACCAAAAGATAAACTGACTATAAGTGTCTTTGCGAGTACGTCAACTTATTCTACCATACTAGATTCAACCATTCTTAAGCATACTAACACTCTAATGAGAGTTAGTTGGCATGTAGTTGCAAAGTTGCTTATAGTCATGGGTAGGATTAGGGTTGTGGGGTAGATGCGTATCATATGTACGCGAAAACTGCATATCATATCCACGCCAACAAATTTCATATCATATGCACGCGAAAACTGCGGATTATATGCATGCCAAACATGTTCGTATCATATCCACGCCAAAGTCCATTTTTGCGTATCAATACCACGAGTTTTCGTTTTTATTTATTACTATTTATACGCACTTTCATGAAATCGGGTTGAAATTCAGAGTAACAAAACTATAGCAGCAAGTCTGTATTGGCTGAATGTATTTAGCCGTTTCTGCAGTTAAAGATAAAACTTTTAAAAATGTAGTTTTTAAATTAAATCTAAAAATATTTCAAAATATTTCATGCATTATTATTTGATTGTTATACCATTAATAATTAACTTGTTTTTAATTTGTAGTTAACTAGTAAAGTATTTAAATAATTAACACTTCTAGGCTGTTGGTGTCTGGGCTTAATTAATTTATTTTTTGAATGACATGAGACTTTGTGACTTAATTCCTGCACTTGCTATACTTTATACTTCAGTACAGTAAAAGTACTAAAATGGGTTACAATATTCATTTTATGATAAATCCAAAAGCAAGACTTGAAAAAACTAGGGAGTTGAGCCGATGAGTGATCCTCTGCCGCCATCTACTGGTTAAAATGTTAATTTCACGTCATTTTCATCTTAAAAAGTCTTTGTTTTCTGCCAGGATTTTTCATGCTATCTTCATGACTAAAAAGTGAATCTTTAAAGTGAATTTTACTGCACAACTGTAACTAATCTCACTCCAGCCATGCAACCAAAGTTGGCAACTATGATTATTTATAACACAATGAACACGTTGTTGCTACCCCACTGAAATGATGGTCATTACTCCTTAACTGATGTTTCTGAACATGTTTAATCCGTTGACATTCAAGTAGACACTGTAAGAACTACGAACTACGAATTTTATTTTAATAATAAAATTTTTTTTTTATCTCAAACAGCCATAAGATCAGATATCAGATCCGATGATTGTGTAATATGACACATTTGCTTTGAACTATTTTTATTGTAATATCAGTTTGATTATTTTGATGGTACCCTTTAGACAGCTGTTGATAAGTAACTCTGCAGCCAACTGCATGTCAACTAGCAGTCATTGGAGTATTAGTAGTATGTCTGCTAAATATATGCTAACACTTTATTTTGATTGTTCCCCAACAGATATAAGTAACTTTGCAAGTACGTCAACATTCTTCCTACCTTAACCTAAGCCTACTAATACTCTAATGAGAGTTAGTTGACTTGTAGTTGCAAAGTTGCTTATAGTTGATAGACTAAGGGGGACCATCAAAATAAAATGTAACCTAACATATAAACATTGCATTTTTTTCAGTTTAAATTATGTTATACAGTATTTCAGAGTAAACAGTACGGATGCAACAATACAGTTAACCCACGGTTCAATAAATACCTCCGTTTTTTTTTTACCACAGTTTTTGGTTTAGTTCTTTTTTGTTATTTTTAAATGCTATTTAAAAAAAGTAGTATTATTTTTATGGATTGGCCATTATTTAGTGCTATGAACACATGTAATGTCCGTTTCATTCATACTGGATGCAGAAAATCCACGTATGCGTCAAAGAAGTAATAGAACTGATGACGCTTCAGGAAATCCCTAGTATGGACAAAAGCATCCAGCTATCGCTGTAACTGAATAAAAGAAGATAGAAATGCTTTGCATAATGACATTCAAAGAGAACATTAAGACAACAAACACTTGACTGCGACAATGTATAGTTTATCTGTGTTCTTACAACTACCTCAGGTATTTTTATAATAATTAAGTATATTTATAATCTACTGCTAATCAACATAGCCTTTATTAGAGTATAGAAAAAAATAAAACGCATGGAAATTATTGAAATGCAAAACCCAAAAAAAGTTGATTGGTTGAACTCTTCATCTTTTTATGTTGCTTGTTTTGAGTCTTGTGCATGGACAGAGGCGTCACCAGGTTTTGGTGTAGTTTAGAGTGGCAAATGGTGCCAGCGTACTTAGTGGTCAAAATGCGTAAGCACTACACAAAATGTGTACAGGTTGGCAGGTCTGCAGAACCAGAAACATTTTTATGTTGCACAGGACCACCTCGTAGTCAGCTGGTAAGGTAGCTTACCTCAGCACTTCCTCTGTCTCCCAGGCTGCTTCTGCCTCATCCTCCCAGGCATTGGTGTCCTCCTGCCAGGTGTCCAGGTCCCCCAGCTCCGCCTGCAGCACAAAGAGACATTGTGTTTACTG